TTATTCAGTACACAATGATCACTTCATTTATTAAAATATTTTTTAGAAAGAACAATAATTAGAAAGATGTCAACGTCAATGCAATTAAATAAAACAATTAACTAAAAACTTCTTTCCGCTTCCAAAGAATATTCCCTGTTATCTGTTACACTTAATTTCAAGGTCAATGCAACACTAATAGGAACTAATTAAGCTACATACATACATGAAGAATACTTATATTAATAATTTATAATTTTATAAATAAAATTAAATAATATTGATTTTTATTCTTTAAGGTGTAGTAATAGCTTCATTTAGTCTAAGAATGGGAAAGAAATGGGGTGGAATGGAAGTTGCAACCAACTACTGTGCTTGTGATATGTGAAGTGGTAGATGATGGTTGGTTTATCACATAACAACCAATGTTCCTAACAGTTCCTAATTTTCTTAAAATAAAGTTTGTTATGTATAATAATTACAATGTGAGTGGCATGGATATGATTTAATATTGTTGGGCAAAAGATCTGGACTAGTTGATCATTAAAATTTTGCGGCTGGAAGTTTAGAATAATCCATATATATGCACTACAATTGCTGTTCCTTTTATTTTGACACTCACTAGCATTTTTTCCTTTCAATATTATGTTTGACATATAATTATATATATAAGAAAAAAGTATTGTGTAGTTCAAATTGTACTAAATTGCATAATATATATTTTTGGAAGAGAGTATATTAAAGGGTTTTCCCCATTCAGTATTGCAAAATAAGGGATTATATGTATTTTAAAAAATGATTTAAGGATAATTTTTTTTTGTAAAATATTTTTGTATAATTTTATGTGTTATTTAAATAATTAATAACTTTTTTTATTTATTTGAAATCTGTTATATTGAATACACTTAATCATTTAATAATATATGAAAATTATATAAAAAGATTGTACAATAATATTACACCAAAGTGTTATCACCACCCATGTATCTTTATACAATGATTTCAAAGGCATAAATAAATATTTAGATTCACAATAATACAGAGGATATACTTTCAAACTAGAAAAAAATCCGTACATTGAATTTAATTTTTTTTAATGCACCAAGTGGAGGGTTTATATTTTGGAAAAGTATTAATTTTGAAATGCGGACATGTTGGCAGAATGATACATTAATGTTGAAGGTTAAAAAAAAAAAAAAATTGCGCATGAAGGCAACTCTCCCAATTTTTTTATTAGTGTCTCGCCCAGTTTAATTAATCACGGTAATGCCTTTGTAACCATTTAAAAATGTTTTTCTAATATATATATATATATATACATGAGATTAGTATATATTAATTTTAATTTTTTTTTAAAAAAATTGAGTCTAAAATTATATTTGAAAACTAAAATCTCAGTTTAAAATTTAAAAATCTATTTTATTAAATATTGATATCTAGATTTGAAAATTAATTATATATTCTTATATAATCGGTTTCCAATATATTCTTCAACTTTCGAATTTAGATATCAACATTTAATAAAATATTTTAATTTATTTTGAAAATCGAAACTAACATGCACTTTTCAATATAAATATCTTTCTTTGCTTTTTTTTTTTTTTAATGTGTATGCAATGCCTCAGAATATTGAGAAATGATGCATGGTGATTTAGAATTCAACTATGAAAATGATATAATTATAATGTCATGTGATAATATTATAAGTTTCTAATGTGTTATTGTATAATTAATTTTTTTTTAATTTAAAGGTTCATCTATGATATTGTATATATTTACTTATTTAATAATATATTATATTTATTTAATGATATATTATATTTATTTTAAATTTATAACTTTATATAAAATTATAAATATAGCATTGCCGTCTTAATTAGGTGCACAGGTAGTGGTCCATTTT